GCCTGCCCAGACTGTTATATACAGAGCAATAATAATAAAACACTTTCATTTTTCCCTAAACAGCTAGGTAAACGCATCTACAAATTACTTGCCTCGGGCTACATTGTCCCTCTAGGCACAGGGCTGACCAAAGGGCAATGCATAAACTGCTCTGCCCCAAGAGGCATCATGCTTCAGAGTTATTCCTCTCTGGCTCTTGTTTGCTTCTTGGAGGGGGGAGGCGGTATCTTACTGCAGCCCTTGAAAGGATGTTTACTCCTCCCCCTGGCCTGGCCAGCTACTCTTGCCAGTGAGAGGGAGTAAAACCAAGTCTCTGCGTCCTCCTTGACCTCTTGCTTGCCGTGGGGAGTGTTTGGAGAGCTGGGGTGCTGCTTCGCAACAGAGCTCATCTGGAGATCTGTGTTGGTCTGTCTTGGCTGAGCAATAGGGTGTAGGGGTTACTCCCCCATATTCTCCTGCTTGAGTGAGTAAGACAAGGATGCAGGCTAGTCCTTCTGGTTTGCAAAGGTTGCCCCCACCACCCTCACAGTCAGCGCATTCAGTTTCATTTTACATTTCCTCTGTAATAGCACGCTGAATGTGGGTGGATTTGTGCTCCAGCTCAGGCTAGCCATCGTAATTATGATCATCTTTTTCAGAGCCAACAGATATAGGTAGAGTTTTGGCTCCTAAAGCTAAATCTGTGTGTGCATGCACTGGCTGTTCTTCATTCCACAGGCAATTCTGAGAATCAAGTCCATACTAGCTATTCTGAGAATCAAGTCCATACGAGCTTACTTGTATTGCCAGCAAACATCTGTTCCACCAGATGGAATTGTTTTAAATAATCTGTGGGGGGTGGGGGAGGAGGATCTGGCCCGGAATACATGATAATAGGGGGAGGGATAGCTCAGTGGTTTGAGCATTGGCCTGCTAAACCCAGGGTTGTGAGTTCAGTCCTTGAGGGGACCACTTAGGGATCTGGGGCAAAATCAGTACTTGGTCCTGCTAGTGAAGGCATGGGGCTGTACTCGATGACCTTTCAGGGTCCCTTCCAGTTCTAGGAGATAGGTATATCTCCATATATTATATTATTATTATATGTAGATAATATTCACATTGAGACTTCCCTTTCAGAAGGTATCTGGGAAAGGGAAGAGATGTGGATTTGATGTTTAGTCTAGAGGCTGGATTAGTGGGCAGTCTCATGTTTTTTATGTTCATCAGAAGTGGTAGTAAACTGAAATAGATGAAGATTTAAATTGATCAATTAAAGGGGAATCCTAGTTTCCTTAAGCCATTGTGGCAATCAAAAGGTACATTCTACACTGAAGTAGTGAAAGCTATTTGTCATTGAACAACCAAACAAGTTTCACTACCTTCAAGCCTTTCCGCAGTTTTCTTTTTTATAGTGTGTGTGAGGTGGTTGGGAAAGGGTGGGTGTGGGGAGGGAAGGGCATAAGTCTAGGAAACTGGGTCTTGAGATAATCTTTCACATTATTTACAGTGATGTGCACTCCACAAATCTGATGATAGCATCAGCCTTTAACAATAGTTTGCAAGGTATATAATACTGAAATCGTCTAGCTTCCCCTGCTATGATGACTGTGTCTAACTTCTGCTGTTCGTTAATCGAGACGCACATATTAATGAGCCAGTGCTTCTGGCGCAGGTAAAGATTCTCTGCAGCTAGGCCATCTCTTTCCTTTACGTGCACTTGTCATGTTAATACATTCTACCTCTGATCTCTCTTCTTTGTCATTATTTCATTTTCAGGAACCTGTGTGAAATGCAGCCAAGGTGTGTATGGAGCAAACCAGGCTTGCCAAGCCATGGGGAATCTCTACCATGATGGCTGCTTCACCTGTGGAGCATGCAGTAAGTGTGTCTTTGCCTATATAGTAAAGGGAAACATTGCATACACATGGTAATGGAGCTTTACCGCCAATGGGTTTTCAGATCGTTTCAAAACATATGGTGTAGTTATTTATTTACATGGCAGGTTGTATGTACCTGATGGATTCTGTTGCAGCTCAACTTTTTCACATTAGTTCTTGCATGTCATTTAGATTAGGTGTTCTGGGTTATGCCTGCCTTCTACTATATGGTATGTAAAGCAAGATAAAGCCCTGTGGGTATTTGTAAGTGCCTGTTATCTACCAATGCAGCTGTATCTTATGCACGGAACTTCATAGACCTAGAAGACTATATGCAGGAATGACTGGGGAAATTCCATGGCCTGAGTTATGTATGTCAGACTAGATGATCCTATGATCCCTTCTGGCCTTAAAATCTCAGTGTCTCTAAGACAGATTCCCTGCCCAGAAGACTATACAATCTGAGGACCAGATATGAGAGCTCTGCATGTGAAGGGCTAGCAGGAATGGGTAGTAAATTAAATTATGTATAGCTATAGGCATCATAAAGTAAACACAGCTTTTTAGAATGGGAGCTAATTTGCCTTCTAACGTCACTTTGTCTCAGTCAAGTTTTTATATCCCTGACCTGGTTATTAAACTGGTTTCAGTTGTGCCCATGCTATGTCTTGTTATGTTACACAGATGGCAGGATATATGCTGCACTTCCATAGTACAACCCATATGTATGTTGGTTCCCAGAATGGATTAGGAATTGAAATGACTGACCATTGCCATTTGGAGATAAATGGGCCACTATGAAGAAATAATGGAACTACTGTCACTTTATTCATAAACCCTGCCCTCTACTCTCTGCCTCCTCTCTCCCACACCCGTGTTCATGCCTTTTCTTTCACTCTGCTCCTTCCTGTGTACCAAGCATATTTGCTATCTTCCTATAAATCCCTCCCCAAAACCCATGTGTCTTGCCTTGCTTCCTGCCATAGACTTCACAGGACTGGAAGACGACTTTTACCCTAAGAACTCGCCTTCACTAACTCTGTAGTATGTAACAAAAATAATCATCTCTTTTAATCCTCATCCCTGCTTTTGCAACCTCCTTCCGTTGTCTAGTCTCATGTTCCATGTTTGTTTGATTTAGACTGTTAAGTTCTTTGAGTGGGGGTAGTGAGCCAGAATTTGCTTTATTTTAATAATCTCCATAAGGTGCTGTGCAAAGTTATGGTGCTAGTAGTGTGTTGACTACGAATAATAACAATAATAGCTTTGCACTTCTAAATACTTCCCGTCTGAGGCTCTCCAGAGTGTTTTACAAACACTAATGAACTAAGCTTCACAATGCATATGGAGAGGCAAGTAATTTATAGGGCTGTCAAGCGATTAAAAAAATTAATTGTGCAATTAAACAATAATAGAATACCATTTATTTAAATATTTTTGGATGTTTCTATATTTTCAAATATATTGATTTCAATTACAACACAGAATACAAAGTGACAGTGCTTACTTTATATTTATTTTTTACTACAAATATTTGCACTGTAAAAAACAAAAGAAATAGTATTTTTCAATTCACCTTATACAAATACAGTAGTGCAATCTCTTTATAATAGAAGTTGAACTTACAAATGTAGAATTATGTACAAAAAATAACTGCATTCAAAATAAAACAATGTAAAACTTTAGAACCTACAAGTCCACGCAGTCCTACTTCAGCCAATTGCTCAGACAAACAAGTTTGGTTACAATTTGCAGGAGATAATGCTGCCCATGTCTTGTTTAAAATGTCACCTGAAAATGAGAACAGGCGTTCGCATAGCACTGTTGTAGCCGGCATCGCAAGATATTTACGTGCCTGATGTGCTAAAGATTCATATGTCCCTTCATGCTTCAACCACCATTCCAGAGGACATGGGTCCATGCTGATGATGGGTTCTGCTCGATAATGATCCAAAGCAGAGAGGACAGACGCATGTTCATTTTCATCATCTGAGTAAGATGCCACTAGCAGAAGGTGGATTTTCTTTTTTGGTGGTTCGGGTTCTGTAGTTTCTGCATCTGAGTGTTGCTCTTTTAAGACGTTTGAAACCATTCTCCACACCTTGTCCCTCTCAGATTTTGGAAGGCACTTCAGATTCTTAAACCTTGGGTCAAGTGCTGTATCTAGCCTTAGAAATCTCACATCGGTACCTTCTTTGCGTTTTATCAAATCTGCTGTGAAAGTGTTC